TTACAATTTTTTAAAAAGGAGACATTGTATATAAGTAGTTCTTAAGGGCTTGGGGCTGATTGAGGGGAGGAACGTAAGCTGACTTCATATGCAAAGAGCTCAACACGCCAAGTTCAAGGTCTTGCTAACTAAGTTGGAGAGACTGGCAAATTATTCAGTACTTCAGAGATGCCACCATCAAGCTCTCCTGGTCCGTCTTCTCACTTTATGGTCAAAACTCATGCAGTACAATAATAAGATCAATGAAATCCTTTAGCTTTTACCTGGATCAATGAAATCCTTTAGCTTTTACTTGTGTCACCAGAGTATCAGAAAAGAAGAGCCGATTGCTCCTTTTCTCTCCTAAGGGAGGAAATCTTCCTAAGTAAGTGACCCTCGCACTACCGATTTCTCTAGAAATCTTTGTCATTGGGGGTGGTGGGGCATACTGGTTTTTCTTTATGACCTGGAATGTTGTGGCTATAATTACTGAGGGATTCAATTCATTTTCACAAAAGGATTTTGAAAAACGTATAATTTTTCAGTTATTCTCCTTCAAAAGTCATGTGTCAAGACTGCCAAGGGCATATCCAAGAGGATGATGGTGCCTTCGAATCAGTGTGATTTAGCGGACAAAGCTCCAGCTGGCTGTGGAGTCTGGAATAAGAGGCCTACTTGTCTCCTCCAGAATTCAAAGTCACTTTGATCCTACCCTTTCCCTCGCCCACTCAACCTCTGATCACCAAGGTCAGTCGAATCCCTCAAATCTGCCAACACTTTCCTTCCCACCCCGACCATAGTGAACTCGACACCATTTCTTCTGCCTTGACCATAGAGCACCTCCTATCTGGCATCCCTGCCTCAGTCTGGCCCCTTCTCATCTCCTCACACCACTGAGAATCTGACACCAAAATCTGACCACCTGCCTCCGTTGTTAATACTTTTCTGTCATTCCCCATATAGCCGTGATGTGAAGTGGATTCTTGGTCCTTCACTCGTAAAATGAGGAGTATTATCCTTCACTGGATTGTTGGGAAGATTCATGGCATCATGTAAACAAAACCATTTGTTCACGTGAAAAGAAACATGCAAATGTAAGAAATTATGTCAATGGGAATATTAATTTACCAGACAATTCAGTAATTAAGTCAAGTAGCTAAATATAATGACTCGAGTACTTAAGTTGATTCAATACATTATGCCAGAGGTTTGGTGGATTTATTTAAGCCATAATGATAAAGTGGCAATATGGATTTTCCTGTACATTACACAGAAGATGTGACGTCCAAGTCCATGCTCAAGTGGGAACCGTGCCTGTTACACAGCAGCCAGACAATAATATCTAAATAATAGTTTGTGCATAATTCACGCGCTGGACTTGGTGACACACAGATGAAGTTATGCTCCTAATTCCTTTCATGCAACCCTGTCAGACTGCAAATCTACCTTTTCGGAAAATGTGTCTAAATAGGGTATCCCATCTTTATAGGAAACTAAAATGACAATCTGCAGGTGCTCAAAGAAGCAGAGATCCTCCAGACAGAATAATGTTCTAAAATAAATAGTCAATAATAATAAATAAGTGATAACCAGTTAAGATCGAGTGGGTCAATCATAGTTGTATAGCAGGAAATGGTTGGTGTTTTATTCCTCCCAGAGACAATTCTCTGAGTCATCTCAGAGATGAGTTTTGTGCTCCTGAACTAAAATAAGCCTGTAATGAAAGTGTTCCAAAAAGTGAAAGCAGAAGGCCAAATTTTCTCAGAAAGAGAATTAATAAAATAATGAAAACAGAGATACACAAAATATTAGGCTATTTAGAAAATTACAGTTGTTCAGAGCATCCTTGGACTTGAATGAGGTGTGATTATGAGACCAATATCATTCTATCAGGAAACAACAAAATAGGTCTACTGTTCATAGTAGTAGAGTTATAGGCACCCAGTAACTGTTCTCTAAGTATTTGCTGATTAAACTAATTAGCAAACAAGATTCAAGAGGCTCTTCTATGGCTCATTACTAATTCAAACATCTTTTAGTATCAGTGCTATTGAAAAATAAGAGTCTCACAATATTATCACAACAGATTTTCCAGTAAACCCATAATGTTCATAGTATGTGTATATTCCATGATAACTTATGAAACATAATGCATTTGATAATCCTTCCTTCTCTAAGAACAATCTTTGTGATAGACAGTTTCCTACTGTGCAACAAATTGTTGAGGTGTTTTGAGATATTAGAACTTGCAACTTTATGCTAATGGTTGTGGACTACTATAGGAAGGCAGACAGGATACATCTATGACTTAATGGCCACTATTCCCTTCCAATCCCATGATAGACATCAATAATCAATCATGTCACCCTTTCACACCAAACTTGGGATTTATCCTCAATGTCCATTTTTACATAGTATTCCACACAGCACCTGTTATTCAGCTCATTTAACAAATACTATTGAATTCTTACTATGTACCAGACACTGCAGATAAAAGTAACCAAGACAGACATGGTTCTTGCTTTCACAGCACTTTGATTAACACTAGATTTGACTCCCGTAGCAATGATGATTTGCCAGATCTGCTCTGTAATATAGGTGAGATGAAAAGGTTTCTAATAGCTTTTGTCATAGAAAGGGATTGAGGTGAAGAGACTCTGTCTGCCCCGCCTACTGGCCCCATGCAGCCATGCTGTCTACTGAATAGTGTAGAAGTTAAACTGAAAATAGCCGAACACTTTTTTTTTTTTTTTTTTTTAGAAAAAAAGAGATAGTCTTTTAAAAATTCATTTACGTGTTGGATGTACAGGTCAGACTCGGATAAACCCATAGGAGAAAGTTTTAAGAGAATTTTTAGAATGAATAAATTTTTCTCCCACTCGCCCATAGACACACACACACGACCCACTACAAAGTGTTTTCTTCATAAGCTCTGGAAAGAACACAATATACTTGTGGAATTCGATGGCTAAGTATGTGACTTTTTCCACCACTTTCAAGCATCGTGTCTTCTTCTCGCCTTGGCTGCAAAATGGCCTCTCTAAAAGACTGTTCTGAATCCCGCCCCTTCCTGCTGGCCAGTCTTCCTTCCCTGCTGTAGAAATGGGTGACTCCCTTCCCACCACTTGTCAAGTAACGTTCCTGTTCTTATGTTTCAGTGGGCTGTCAGCAACCCTGTGATGGCAAACTGCTAGGATGTTCGGTTCCCTCCAGTTCTCTTCCCCCTGGGAAAGTACAAAACGTCTGATCGGGGACATGAAAGTGATTCCGTCAAAATCAAGTTGATAGTAGCTAAAAAGAAGTTTCTGTCATTGTCATCCAACTGTTCTACTGTCTTCTTCTTTTTTTTTTTTTTTTTGAGTTGGAGTCTCACTCTGTCGCCCAGACTGGAGTGCAGTGGCCGCTCCCGGCCACCGCAGCCTCGACCTGCTGGGCTCCGGGGATCCTTCCGCCTCAGCCTTCCGAGTAGCCGGAATTACAGGCACATGCTACCACGCCCGGCTGATTTTTTGATTTATTGTAGAGATGAGGTCTCGCTGCCCAGGCGGGTCTCGAACCCACAGGCTCAGGCAATCCACTCACCTCAGCCTCCCAAAGGCGCGGGATTACAGGCTGAGCCACCAAGCCCGGCTTGTTCTACTGTCTTCTAAGATTAATCCTGAATCTGGATAATTACATATTATGCTTAGGTAAAACATTGTTGGGTTGTCTTATTTCAAAAATTAAAAAAAAAAAAAAATCCCCCCGAGAGGTAAGTTCATGACACTGCCCCCAAGGCAAAGACCTAGTTCTTTTTTTTTTCCCCCTTCCCGAGGCAGAGTTTCACTCTGTTGCCTGTGCTGGGGTGAAGTGGCACGCTCACTACCACTGCAGTCTCGACCTGCTGGGTTCAGGCGATCCTTTGGCCTCAGCCTTCCAAGTAGCTGGCACTACAGGCATGTGCCATCACGCCCGGCTAATTTTTCTGGATTTACGGTAGAGATGAGGTCTCGCCATGTTGCCCAGGCTGGTCTCGAACCCATGGGCTCAGGCAATTCTCTCAGCTTGTGAGTCACTTAAAGGTGTGAGCCACTGTGCCCGGTCGAAGATCCAGTTCTTTAACTCACTGGAAGGTAGACCCACAATGTGCATTTAGCTACAGATGCCGATGCTTAGCTGTTTTGTTTTTAACTTGATTTTGCACCTGAAGTGCCTACGAATTTTGCTCTGTGTTCTCCACAACCTTGTTTTTTGTTTTGTTTTGTTTTGTTGCCTTAATCCCTCTCAACAAGATTTGGAAATTGACTGGAACTAGACAGAAAGAGCAAAGTGGCAGACCATTTTTATTATTTTTTCTCAGGGACCCAATTTTATTGTGACTGTATACTTCTTAAAGGAGTTTTACTTCTTCCCTTTGCATATGACTTCATTTGTTTATTCTCTAAAGTGAGAAAAATAATATAACCAAAAATGATTCAGTTTTACCCTTTGCCAGTTTCACTGTACAATGGTCCATGCCAGTTCTTATATTGTTATAATACTTGCCTAATGAACATGAAATAATACAACACTGTCCATTGGAACCAATTTTCTAGCACTCAAGAGACAATAGCAACATTACATTTATTAATTTAGTAGAAAAAATAAAATTTTACCATTCCAAGATATAAGAGAATGCAGTTGTGTTAAAGGACAAAGATTTTGTATTCTCTTATGGGTTTCTCCACCATTAAGAAATAGAATTAAAATCGTATCCTTCATTTATTCACCCCAGTATGTGTCATACAGTAGGCTAGGGGCTGTTGGTTCAGAGGTGAACTCTACAGAACAGAGTCTCTCTCTTCATGGAGCATACAAGTGACCGCCCGGGTCTTGAAAATTCTGGTCGAAACTGATACTCAGGAAAATGTCTAAACTAGGCTGGACTTTCCTGGTCCACCACTTCCTACTCATCAGAAAAGCTCCCTTTCCAATGGACCGGGGCAGATTTTTGACCCACTGCAAAGCAATAGCAAACAGAATGTAGAAAATGGAAGTCTTACCACTAATAAATATATAGATTGCAGCTTCTGTTTTCTTCTTCTTGGAAGTAGGTACAGCCAGATATTTGCAGCTGTAGAAGCCAGTGTGGTTTGCCTGAGCCATGTTCAAGGTCAAAGTACTGCAGAATTGTTTGCCATTCCTTCCACAGGCAGAATGAGTTATGCTCAGCCTTTTGCTTTCCTTACTTACTGTTTCAGGCAAAGACCATGAATGGGCTGCTTCCCCCCTGTAACCACAGATAAGAAAACAAAACACAATTACGGCTGGGACCCGGGCTCAACACCAATTCCTAAGCATTCATTTTATTAGGAAGCGGTGTTCCGAGGTTCTCCCCTAAGTGTAGTCATCTTCCTCTTTACAGAAAAGCAACACGTTCAGAAAAACTTTTGAACAATACTCTGAATCAAGGTGCAAAGCTGTTTGGGGGCGCCCCTTCCCCCACTTCCTCAGAGTGAGTAATGCTGTTCTTTCTACCAGAAGCCCCTTCCATGTGAAGCTAGGTGCGTGTGGCTGGCACTCTGAAGAGCTCAGGAGGTCACTGAGGTCTCTACATTTCCACTCTGAGAGGCGCCCTTTCTACTCTGCCAGGGAATGCTTTTGCCTTGGGAAAGGCAGCTGGGATATGCCCAAACCAACACTGTCTCTTACCTGCACTTGAGATACAGTGTCTGGCCTGCTTGCATGACGTGCTGTGTGCCTTTTAAACTCAGATCAGGACCTTTTAATTTTGAACCTGAACTTGATCCTGGAAAAGAAATTTTTAAAATGTATTATTTGCAAATTGCCTCTCATTTTTTTAAAGTTTTTCTTCCATAAAGGTGTATGTTCATCTTTAATTTCATACATATGCAAAAATATACATCTAATACAAATTTAATTCACAAATTTTTTTTCTAGTCCAAACTTGGTCATAAATATTATATACCCTTTTGTACCAAATGACCCCAATAATATCCCAAAGCCCATTTATTTAGAATGTTAACAGATTCTTGTATGGTTGAAAACACAGGCCGGGCTTGGTGGCTCAGCCTGTAATCCCAGCACTTTGGGAGGCCGAGCTGAGTGGATTGCCCGAGCCCATGGGTTTGAGACCCGTCTGGGCAACTTGGCAAGAACTCGTCTCTACAATAAATAAATTAAAAAAACTAGCCGGGTGTAGTAACGTGAGCCTGTAATTCCGACTACTTGGAAGGCTGAAGCGGAAGGATCGCTGGAGCCCAGCAGGTCGAGGCTGCGGTGGCCAGGAGTATGCCACTGCACTCCAGTCTGGGTGATGGAGTGAGACTCCAACTCAAAAAAAAAAAAAGAAAAAAAAAAAACAACACAGTCACATTGGCCAAAAGCAGTGGCTCATGCTTATAGTCCCAGCACTTTGGGAGGCTGAGGCGGGAGGATCGCTTGCAGCTTGGAGTTTGAGACAAACCCAGGCAACAAAATGAGACCCCGTCTCTAAAAAAAAATTTGAAAAGAGCTGGGCGTGCAGGTGTGTGCCTGTAGCCCCAGCTCCTTTGAGGGCAAGGCGAGAGGCTCGCTTGAGCCCCAGAGGTCAAGGCTGCAGGGAGCTATGATCACACCACTGCATTCCAACTTAGACAACAGAACAAGAGCCTATCTCTAAAAAGAAAAAGCAATCATATTAAGAATATATGAGAGGGGACCCCCCAAAACTTGGAATTCTTAATTTTGGGGGGAGGTGAGTGGGATCCGTATAGTACAGGCTTTCCCCACTAGGTGAGTGCTCTAGAAACCCGTCAGCATCAGTGGACCAGCAAGACTTATATGAGAGACTGTGTGGCTTCAGTGAACTTTATTGTGGAGATGCTTTCAACATGTGTGACCATTTCATGATGGGTAATTTACGAGTGCAATGGCCTACACGGCGCTGAGTGTTCAGTAGTTTTTGACCAAGAGTGACACAACCCCCATGCCCCAACCTCCCAATGGATCCCATCTTGCCCTGAGTAACTTTTTTTTTTGTTTCCTCCAGCTGTAAAAAGAACTCAAAGGGAAACATTTTGCTGATATGGAAGAGGTGAAACAAAAACAGCAGAAGCACTAAAGACATTCACATGGATGAGTTCAAAAACTGTTTCAAGCAATAGAAAAAGCACCTCAATAGGTATATTGCATCCGATGGGGAGGACTTTGAAGGTGACTGAAGTTTAAACATGTAAGAGTAAATACACCATCTTTTATAAATAAATTCCGGGTCTTTTTGGGTCCGCCTTGTATACTAACTTACTTAAAACTCTCAAGATTAAATGTCGGTGTCATCTAAAGTGTTTTTCTAATAGTGGACCTTTTTTTTTTTTTTTTTTTGAGTTGGAGTCTCACTCTGTCGCCCAGACTGGAGTGCAGTGGCCGCTCCCGGCCACCGCAGCCTCGACCTGCTGGGCTCCGGCGATCCTTCCACCTCAGCCTTCCGAGTAGCCGGAATTACAGGCATGCGCTACCACGCCCAGCTGATTTTTTGATTTATTGTAGAGATGAGGTCTCGCTGCCCAGGCGGGTCTCGAACCCGCGGGCTCAGGCAATCCACTCACCTCAGCCTCCCAAAGGCGCGGGATTACAGGCTGAGCCACCAAGCCCGGCTTAATAGTGGACCTTTACTAACATGGGTCATCTGTTCCGACAGGCCTAGCTGACCTTTTTTCTGAATAAAAAGTGTAGAGATTTTCTTGGGTTCTAGTCTTAGCTCAGTCATTCACTGAGCAATATTTGGGGCTAGTCATTTCCCTTTCCGAACTAGTTTCCTTATTTGGAAAACTAATTTTAGACTCAAAATCAGTTTTAGAAGCCATTTGGGTCCTCTTACATAATCTGCAAATTCCCTCTCTATTGGTGCAGTGAAAGGGACCCATTCACACTCTGAAGTGATGTTTGGCAAGCATATCTCATAGAGGACAGTCTTGCAGCAATGAAATAGGGTAGGTGAAAGCACTTTAAAATCTACACATCTCTATACAATACAGTTTCTATGTCTGTGCTTGTGACTAGCTGTGTGACCCTAGACAAGTCACCTTTCTCTCAGGATCTCGGCTGTTTTATCTATAAAAGGGAGATTGGACTAGACAACCTTGGATCTCTGGCCTTCCCAGCCTTACGAGCTTTTGGGCCACAGGCGCTCTGGCGGTTGAGCCTTCCTTGAAGCTCTCACTGACCAATCAGTAAAGATTTCTCAAGCCTCCTTCTTCCCCTCATCCTCAGTCTATTCTCTCTTCCTTTCCCCTCCTCCTCATCTTCCTGCAAAGCAGCTGCAGTGCCTGGTCAAAGCAGGAGATCAGGGGCCCAGGATTAGTGCTCCTCAGGTAGGAGTCGAGGTGAGGGGGAGGGAGGACAGATATGATTGGAGGGAGGAAAGTTTAGTATTTGGCACGAATCTTAGGTTATACATACTTTTACTTTAAAAAAACAGGTTTGGCTGGGCATGGTGGCTCAAGCCTGTAATCCCAGCATTTTGGAGGCCAAGGTGAGGGTACTGCCTGAGCCCACAGGTTCAAGAACAGCCCGGCACCTTGGCGAGACCTCATCTCTACAATAAATCAAAAAATTAGCCAGGCGTGATAGCGCGTGCCTATAGTTCCGGCTACTTGGAAGGCTGAGGTGGAAGGATCACCTGAGCCCAGCAGGTCGTCACTGGGATGGTTGTGAGTATGCCACTGCACTCCAGCCTGGGCGACAGAGTGAGACTCCAACTCAAAGAAACAAAAATAGGTTTATAGCTGGGCATGGTGGCTCACACTTATAATCCCAGCACTTTAGGAGGCCGAGGCGAAGAGGATTGCCTGAGCCCAGGGGCTCAAGACCAGCCTGGGCAACATGGCAAGACCTCATCTCTACAGTAAGTTTTCTAAAAAAAACTAGCCAGGCTTGGTGGCATGCGCCTGTAGTTCCAGTTACTTGGAAGGCTAAGGCAGAGGAACTACCTGAACTCAGTAGGCCGAGGCTGCGGTGGCCATGAGCGTGCCACTGCACTCCAGCCTGGGAGACAGAATGAGACTCCGACTCAAAAAAAAAAATCAATCAATAAAAAAATTAAAAAACAGGTTTATGCCATGGAAGCCAAGGCAAAAGATTGAGGTGAATAGTCCTCCGGGTTGTATGGTTAGGCCCAGATCTATGAGATGAGATACATTGTCAGGTCCCACAGTTCTCCCCAGCAGTGCTCTCCTGTTTTTCTTGGGTTCTAATGGTTCAAAGACAACAGGATTCAGTGAAAAGACCTGCACGTGAAGCTCAGCTTTCTCACTTACTGACTGCACGGCCTTGGCATCCCTGAACTTTCTGCTCCTTGGTATCCTCATGAGTGAAACTGGGAGGCCCATGGCCTTCCTAGGGAGAGTGTGAAGATTTAGGGCTGTTTCATGTACCTGGCAAGGCCTGGGACTCTTTATTAGCAACCTAGGACACCAGGACTCTTGACCCTCATCAGAGAAAATCACTAGGCTGAAGAACCACCTTGAGCCCAGCTGGGAGAAGAACTATGGAGAGAAGATCTCTTAAAGACCATGCCCTCTGCTCCTTCCTGCATGCACTGCCCATGTCGTCCACCAGCCAGAAGAAGAAAACGTAACTGAGTGGTTAAAACATGCTCACTACCATGGACTCCTCTCTGCTTCTGTCAGAAATATCTTGCTGAGTATGTGATTGTAAAGGTATTAAATTAACATGATATGATTTTCTGGTGCTGCTGATGATATAAATGAATACTTTAAAAGTAACTTAAAGCCGGGCCCAGTGGCTCAGCCTGTCATCCCGCGCCTTTGGGAGCCTGCGGGTTCGAGACCCGCCTGGGCAGGCGAGACCTCATCTCTACAATAAATCAAAAAATTAGCTGGGCGTGGTAGCGCGCACCTGTAATTCCGGCTACTCGGAAGGCTGAGGCGGAAGGATTGCCGGAGCCCAGCAGGTCGAGGCTGCGATGGCCGGGAGCGGCCACTCCAGTCTGGCGACAGAGTGAGACTCCCACTCAAAAAAAGAAAAAACAGTAACTTAAAATTTAAAAAAAAAATTTGTTTTGTAGAAATGGTGTCTTGCTATGTTGCCCAGGTTGGTCTCGAACTCCTGGCCTCAAGCAGTCCTCTCACCTGGGCCTCCCAAAGTGCTGGGATTATAGGTGTGAGCAACTGCACCCAGCCTAAACAGAAATTCTGTGGACAGTATGTCTTGGTATCAAAGTACTCCTAAATAAAAGGGCTCAATATGAGCTAAGTTAAAATCACTGCTTCATATAGATCCATTTGGTTTATTGCATAACCCCTCAGGACAAGTCAACCCAATCAGGTATCAAAGGACACATTTTACACTTTATTCATCTCTATGAGTTTCATTCTTTCTTTCTTTCTCTTTCTTCCTTCCTTCCTTCTTTCTTTCTTTCTTTTTGCAGTTTTTATGATCTCTGTGAGTTTTATGATCTCTGTGATGTAGCTCAAAATCCCTGAGCCATCGGGACACCAGGTTTTTCTAAAGCCACTGCCAGCAGCTGATAACACCTGCCCTGAAAAATGTCCAGGCCAGAATAGTTTCTGCCCTTCTTCATGGCGTAGAACTCTGGGGATTTGACTGAGCCATTGCTCATGTGCAGAAAAGATCCCCCAAAGCTTCCTGTGGAAAATTCTGGCATTGCTTGTTGTTATCTCTGTGGTCTAGCTGGAGATGCTGGGAGGAGAGGCCAGGGAAAGCAGTCCCCTGTTGGTGCTCTAGGGTGAAGCCCACTCCTGCTATCTCGGTTTCCAAGTCCTATGACTC